TTTACTTTAGTTTGCCTTGATTACAAAAACCCTTTCATTACTGTTGTCAGGTTTACTGTTTAGAGTTTAATTTGCGTTTAATTTGCGTTTTTGTTATTTTTATTGTTTTAGAATATGGAAATTAATCGAATCATTCCCTGTGGGATCGACCCTTGCTTGCCCTTTATACAATTCAGTAGTTAGGTTAGTAAGGTTAATTAATTTGGTGCATTCGGCACGCTACCATGGAATCAAACCCATCCGTAGAAACTTCTCAATCTGAGTCTCTCACTTCTGGTATGTCACAACCATCATTTGAGAATGTTCTTGTTTTAGAGTCTGAACGAATTAGGAAACAGTTATCACCACGGAGTACTAGAGAGATTCCTAAACCAACATACAAACCTGAGCTATCTAGTAAGATCAAATACCCCATGAGTCATTATGTGTCTAACCATTATCTGTTAGAGTCAAATCTATCATTTGTGAATCAATTATTTATTGTATCTATTCCTAACAGTGTGCAGGAAGCCTTATCTGATCCAAAATGGAAAGCTACAATGAATGAAAAGATGAAATCATTACAGAATAATGAGACTTGGGAACTTGTTGATCATCCACCAAGAAAGAAGACTGTTGGATGTTGATGGGTTTACATTATGAAGTATAAAGCCGATGGTACGATCGAACAATTTAAATCAAGACTAATAGCAAAAGGGTACACCTAAACTCATGGGATGGACTATATAGAGACATTTGCACCCATAGCCAAAATCAACATAGTACGTGTCTTGTTATCTTTGGCTGCAAACCTAGATTGGTCGTTACAGCAATTCAATGTGAAGAATGTTTTCCTACATGGAGAATTATCTGAAGAGATCTATATGGATCCTCCACTAGGATGTATTTTACCAGGGAAACATAGCCAAAAGGTATGTAAGTTAAAGAAGTCATTGTATGGGTTAAAACATTCTCCGAGGGCATGGTTTGGGAGGTTCACCAAGGCTATGATGTTTTTTGGCTACCATTAGAACAATTCAGATCAGACATTGTTCCTTAAAAAACAACAAGGAAAGATCACTGCACTTATTATATATGTAGATGATATGGTGATGACAGGAAATGATCCAGAAGAAAGGAAAGCTCCGCAAAAGTACTTGTTAGAAGAATTCGAGATGAAAGACATAGGTTCTTTGAAATATTTTCTCGAAATCGAAATGTCTCGATCTAACAAAGGTATCTTTCTATCACAAAGAAAGCATGCCTTGGATGTACTACAGGAAACTGATATGTCAGCATGTCAACCAACTAATACACCAATCGAAGAAGATTTGAAATTAGGAGTCAAAATTGATCAAGTACTAGTTGACAAAGGGAGATAGCAGAGACTTGCGGGAAGATTGATGTACTTATCTCATATTAGGCCAGATCTTGCTTATGCATTGAGTATAGTCAGTCAGTTCATGCATAATCCTGGAGAACAGCATATGAACGCAGTTACTCGCATCTTGAGGTACTTAAAACATGCTCCTGGAAAGGGAATCCTATTTACTAAAAATAAGGACTACCAAAATGTGAATGCATATACTGATGCTGATTGGGCTGGAGTAGTGGATGATAGACGATCTATTTCTGGTTATTTCACTTTTGTTGGTGGTAATCTAGTCACGTGGAGAAGCAAAAAACAAAATGTTGTGGCATGCTCAAGCGCCGAAGCAGAATTTAGAGGAATGGCACTTGGGATTTGTGAAGCTTTGTAGCTAAGATTTCTCCTGCAAGATTTGGGCTATCAACCAATCCAGTTATATTGTGATAATAAAGCAACATGTGACATTACTCACAATCCAGTTCAACATGATCGAACGAAGCATGTTGAAGTAGATAGATTTTCCATCAAAGAAAAACTGGATGAAAAGATTATTGAATTGCCCAAGATTCAATTAGGGGATCAACTGGCCAATATTCTTACCAAGGTTATCTCCAAACATATTTTTTCACAAGTTTTAGACAAATTGAGCATGTGTGACATTTACGCATCAACTTGAGGGAGAGTGTTAAGATTTACTGAATATTTCCTAAATATATCGTAATATCCTAATTTTGTTAGTTTTATGATACTCATAATATATTTGATATTCTATAATCTTATAATTATGTCAGTATATTGTAATTGACATAATTACGAGATTCCGTAGATTGTATTCTACCTATATAAAGCCTGTACCTATGGTTGTAAATCAATTAATTGAAACATACAATTCTTCATTTTAACTGCTTCCAGTTAAATACCTAGACATCCCTCTGGTTACTTGTCGGCTTCGTCATTCTGATTGCTCGCCCCTTTGTGGATAAAATAAAAAAGAGAATCAAAGCCTGGAAAAACAATTGTCTGCCCTAAATCGATCTTCACTTTTCCTAAATCTATTACGGAAACTATAGAAAAGATGTTAAGAACTTTCCTTTGGACCAGAAGTGACATGGTTAAGGGGAAGGTAAGGGTTGCGTGGAAGGATATTTGCTCCCCTAAGTGGGCAGGTCGCTTAGGGATAATACCTTTAGGGCTGTGGAATATTTCTTTGATGAAATATCACATCTGGAGTGTGATGTCCAGGAACTTGTGGGTTAAGTGGATCCATTCTGTAAGGCTTCGTGGCAAATGCTTTTGGCAAGTCCAAATGCCATGGGATGCTAGTTGGTGCTGGCGCAAAATATTTGGGCTACGAGATCAGATTATGGACCATATTGGAGTCTCGGTGGGAGATGGGCAGTTTACTTCTTTGTGGTATGACCGTTGGCATCCTCTGGGTTCCCTTGGCAAGCTGGTGCCTGCTCGTTTGTTCTTTTCTTTGGGATTGGGCCATGAGGCTCGAGCGGGTGATATCACTGAGAGAGGGCAATGGACTTGGCCAGCAACTTTTCAGGAGAATTTCTCACTAATAGTCTCCCATTTGCCCCCTCTCAATGCTCTTAATTCCAAGAATGTGGTCTTTTGGCAAAATTCGGAAGGAAAGAAAACCCGGTATTCGTCTAAGCAGACCTGGTGTGATCTTTCTCCCCAAAGAATTAAGGTTCTTGGTCCTCTTTGTTATGGACAGGTACAAGTATCCCAAGCCATTCTTTTATTCTTTGGCTCGCCATAAAATGCAAACTCTTAAGACAGGACAGAATGAGTTTATGTATTAATATTTAAGATTTGAGTTGTGCTCTTTCTAATGGCCCTTTGGATAGCCACGACCATCTCTTTTTGGGTTGTGCCTTCTCTAAAGCCATCTGGAGAACTATCCAAGAAAAGGGGAAATTTAGGTCTCCTAACGTTGACTGGAACCATGTTATTTTATGGTGTGCTCAGAAGTTCACAGGAAATAATATTTTTGCTGTGATTCGGAGACTCCTCTTGGGGGCGTCAGTCTATTTTATTTGGCAGGAGCAGAACTGGCGTCTCTTCAAAGGGACAAAATGAACTCGTGAGTGCATATAACAACGAATTTTGGAGACTGTCAAACTTAGACTGATTAGCCTTCGTCTCAAGGAGTTCGAAAGGTGATTTTGGATTGGAACTTGTTGGAGTCCCACACCGACTAGGCACGCTCAAGCTTACTAGTTTATAAGAGCAGGATTGGAAGCTGGCTCTGATACCATAATAGAATTTGAGGTGGGCCTGAACATCGTATCAGAGTTCAGGTTCAATTGAGCTGAGTATTTTGACCAGCGGGTAAACCTCCAATAACAAGTATAACCCAACATATGGGCTTAACCGTAAGGGGAGTGTTGGAGTCCCACACCGACTAGGTACGCTCAAGCCTACTGGTTTATAAGAGGAGTAATCCTCCCATTCAACAAGACCTTATTGGATGAGGAGTGAGACCCACCTCAAATTCTATAGAACCTTCCTCCTAACTGTATTGATAATGGTCTGCCTAGATTCCCCTCATTTGGTGTGTTTTTCTTCTCTTTTTCTGTGCTTTTTCTTGGGCAGAATTCGAAGTTTATCATGGGTGGTTGTTGGATAGTCTTAGGCTTCTCAGGCCTTTGGCTTCTGTTTTGGGCAGTAGCAGGCCAAGGTTTGACTGTGGTGGGTGTGGAAGGAATTGCAGAATCTGCAGGAAGCTGTAGCAGAAAATTCTGCAGTAAGATACCTGCAGATTTGGTTGACTCTTCTGGAGGTTTGTTGTGGTTGGCCATGGAGTATTTTAGCTGGTTTGATTGGTCGACTTGTTTGGTTTGTAACTACAGGGGAAAGTAGATCTGAGCTGACTGTTAGGTGCAGTAGCTTGTGTAGTCTTTTTGGTCTTGTGGATTTTGCTTTTTGATCTTTGGAGGGTCAAAAAGCTCCAGCCTTGTTTTTGTCTTGGCTTGTGCAGACTTTTTTGTATAGACTCTAGGGTCTTGGGTAGTTTGTTTCTCTTTTGCGTTCAAGCAGTGTGGTTTTTTTTGGGCTCCTTTTGGTATTTTGTATAGCCTTGTGACTTGGGTGCATATGCCCAAGGTCTTGTCTCTAAAGGGGTGATCCCTTTATAGGTTGTTATTCTTTATTCTTTCCTTTAATACAATTACCGGATTTCAAAAAAAAAAAAAAAAAAAAAAAGATTATTCTATTTTTTTCTTAATTGGTGAATATCCCCAAGCCATGTATAAAACTGGTTGATCAGTATCTTTTGAAGAAAATGGCACTTGCCTTTGTATGAACATGCGCCCCCATCAATTTCTTTTGGACAAACACAATTTGAAGCAATAATAATACTCCGCTTCTCTCAATCGGTTTTTTTATTACATATTTATATCGTTATAAATAAATCTTATAAATATTTTTATACAAAGTGAGATGATAAAAAATAAATAAAAAAGTAAAACAAAAAATTAAATTTATTATATTCATTTTACCATTCATTTTTTTATTACGTTACTTTCTATGGAGATTTTTGTAAGATTTTTTTGTAAGTGTAACATTACTCTAATAATACTCCGTTTCTCTGGATAGATTTTTTATTACATATTTATATATCATTATAAGAATTCTAGGTTTATATCCCATTAGTTTGTATTTGCTTGGATGCTTTAAGATCAGCATAGTACATAGACATCCATCCTTCAATGATCTCCAACTCAGTTTCACGCTGCTTAACCAACCAATCCGGATCACTACTACGATTTGCTCTAAGAATATCCAAGCAGTGAGAACCTGCAAATTAAAATAATCAATAATCATGTGAGTTACGTCCAACTTCATGTTTTTCCTCCTGTATTATCAATTATACAACTCCAAGCACTTACCATTTACTGTGTGAATGGCAACAACGGTGTCTGATATATCCTCCAACACCCTGCGTTAAAAATAGTCAACTACATATGTATCATTGAAGAAAATTTATTTTGTACTTCAAATTCATATATATATTACCCGCCGCTACTATATGGATATCTTAATCCATTGGAGAAAATAATGTTGCTAGCAAACCTTTGAAGAATCAGTTTTATATCCTGCCATTGATATAATTAGCCAAGATTAGGTATATAGGTTAGTTTAAACAGTAGAAAATTAATGAAGCATTTAAAAGTGCTTAATTGAAGATATAATAGAGAAAAATCCATACATGGCCTCCATAATAAGTTGTGACCCAATGAGGGCGAGGATGGACACCGGAATATTCTGCCTCACACCCATCGATGAAGACGCTTAGATTGAAAGGATTAGGTGGGAACATTGTCGTATTATCAATCCCTATCGGTATCACTATTTCGCTACATGTCTACTTAACTTCAATCAATTAGTTTCACGATTTCGCCAAAAGATTTTAGATATTTATAAAAGCAGATAACTTGGTATAAAGTAATTTACCTGCCATTGCCATCCCACATCTGTTTCAGATTCATTCATGGGGGCATTAACATAGCAAGATCTATTTCCTTTAAAAGCAACAACACCTGCAAATATTTTGCCAAGAATATCAGTTTGAGAAGGCGCCCCATCGATGCCGCCACACACCATGCTCACTGGATACCTTGGCGGTTGATTATATTGAGCTGCAGTAGCATACATTGACAACAAATTGTCCTTGAGCTCAGAAGAATCTTGCAATGGTCTATTCCAAGAAAACAAGAGAATAATTAACCAAATAATATTATATATTTACATTAATTAAGAAACCAAAACGAGTGGCAAAGACTTTGCTTTTACTTGCAAGTTCTGAATTGCTTGCTGAGGATTAAAAGACCATTTGGCGTGGACGCAATTTTTTCAATTTCTGACCATGACTCTCGTATGGTTTGGTAGCATGTTTCGCTAGCTTCCTGCAAAGTCCCGCTCATTTATTTATATACCAAAATTAAGGGCTACGAAGATTGTACAAAAAGGATCAAATTGTAATATGTATTACTCTAAAATCCTTGGTGACAACAGAATAATATCCATTCTGAGGCGTTATGTCATCAAAATACAGGATAGGAGCTGAGGAGGCCAAAGCTCCCAGAGCAGCGTGAGGATATTTCAGTCGAAACCATGCAGCAAGCACTGGTTAAAAATAAAATCAATCAACCAATCAAAGAAAGAAGTTGGTAATTGTTTCTTTTAGTTATAGAAAAAAAAAAATCATTACTTACTTCCACCATATGATCCTCCAATGACGATCACCGGTGAATCTTCAGCTTGATATTTTTTCTTTATATACATGAGAATTTCTGCATAGTCTGCTATAGCTTGGGCCGAGTTGAAATAGCCGATAGTGCTTGCATTTTTCAGTGCCTCTTCTCTTGATCCAAAAGGGATTGATTTCCCATAGTATCGATGCTGATGATCAAAAGAACAAGTCCGTAATAATTTTCTACTAAACAAATATATATATACATATAACTGCGCAAATTATTTTACCTCTATATATACTAGAAGAGCATTGAAGCGGTTGGCATTATCGGTAAGGAATCCGATAACATCTAAATCGCCATCCAATGGAACTTCGGCTCCAAAATATGCAAATATTGGTGCATTAGCATTTGCGCCACCCCAGGACTTGAAATTAATGAGGTATCGTTGTTGAAAAGTGGAGAAGCTTTCAGGCCTGTAATTGAAGTGATCAAGTGTTTGTGTGTAAAAAAATGTCTGGAAGTCCTCCGAAACATCAGTGGACAAAATTTGAAGATCCATAAAATATGATCCTCTAATAGGACTAAGCCTTGGAATGTTGAAGTTTGTAGCGGTGACGGAGATGGAGAAAATTATGAAGACGGACAGAAGCTGCCATTGGAGTGAAAGTTGACAAGAGTTCATTTTGGTACTTAACAGACAGGTTTAGATTGTACTTCAAAGTATGCAACCAGGCACATCCTTTTATACCAACAAGATTCTTAATTAAATCTTTTGAGATTATGTTGACTAAGATTCATATGAAAACAACAAATAAGATATTGTATGAAAAATAAGTCAAATTGGAAAAAAATTAATTCAGACACAAAAGATTACCATTATCAAAGCGTGCAGTCTGAAGCAATGATAGATGTTCATGAATCATAGCCCACCAAGGAAAGGCATTTGCCTGCCAAGAGATAATAGCAGGACTGGTTTGTGACCTTACGTGGTCCAAATTGAAATTACCATTATCAAAACAATGGAGCATGCACTAAGAATTAAAATATCTAGATATTACAGCAGTGTAAACTTTGAGTATAGTTTGTCTTAAATTAATTCATTGCAAATAAAGCTAATCATATTTAGGAATTAGGATATATCTCAGCCATATGTAATGCCTTAATACGCAGCGCAATGCTGAGTCAATAAAACATATTAAGCCGATAAAGTTAAGAAATACAAAATGCAACATTCCTGACTTGTCGCTACCCATAACTTTGATCACTTGTAGATAACCCTTACCCAACAAACAATAAATATTATACTTAATTACATACAACTCCCATCAAATTTTTATATTTTTACTTTGCAAAATATTTTAGTTTTCAACTTTATGGCCTTCTCTCAATTAATTTAACACTAAAACTTGACGGTAACAAGTATAAATAGCTAATTATAGAGGCCAAGTTGTTATGTTGAAGGGGTGTAGTGGAAATAACCTTAAGAGTGTTTGTATTACTTTAATAATCTTTTCTATAAGCCTGTGAAATATTGAAACCTTATGACAGTTGTATTATTTCAATTGCTTACGTGTGTTTGTGTCACATATACAAGACTTGTTTGTTTGTGGAGTATTTTTACGACAAATTGGTATAATAAGCTTACTGGTTTTGCAGCAAATTAACATAAAAGCGTATCGAAGTTATAACAAATATTAATGTTATAAACAGTTTGTTGTATGGTTCTTTCTATCATCGCTTCTTAGCCCAGGACCAAATAAAAACAAAAATAAACAACTAAATACATACAAGAGAAAATAAAAATAATACTGTATGTAATGCTGATTGAAAGAAAGTTTCAAAGCCGATAAACACAAAATATCACAAACCCTTTACAGGAAAAGAAAAACATGGTGCTCTAGGCAGGTGAATCTAGCCAGTCAATCTCAGACATAAATACACAAATTTCCGGACAATCTAATGGACCCTATCTTTACAAGGAATGACAAATACAATATACCCAACAAAAAAACAAAAAAAACAAAAAAAAAACTAAATTTTCAAATCTCTACATAACCTGAGGATCATATAATTTCCAAGACCACACCAGAAAGCATCCTGGAAAAAGTTAAGACACAGGCACTTATCTTTGTTGAAACTTCAAGTGCCAGAGATTTCCAAGACACACAACTGCAAAAGAATCACCTTCACGACTTGATATGTCATTCTCAATCATTTCGGATTCTGCCAATTCATCCAACAGATGTCCAATGAATTCCAACAACTTTTATTTTTAGACTTCATCAAAAATCTATTGGCTGTCGGAAAGTGATAGTGATCTAAATGAATGCTCCCACTTTCAACAGTTAATGAAGTCCTAGCCAGATGTGTCAATTTCCTTCCCATGATCTTCCTCATTAATATTTCTTCTCAGCCTTCTTAGCCATATATCATAATCTATAGGGTATGGCGTCCCACATAAACTATCTACGTAATCAGCAAATGCTTTCAACACGGTTGAGACATCACCAAGCTTCTGCTGAATTATTCTTCTTGACCAAGAGGTCTCTCTCCACTGTAGTGCCCCTTCCACTGAATCCAAATCAGGCAAAGCCCCACCACACGAAAAATAAAGCATGTAAACCAGGCTCTCTGCATCTGATGCTGAGCACAATTTCCCCTCCTGCAGAGCATAAGTTGATGAAAAATGAAGATTCATAGCAGGGCGGTCCCTATCTTCAAGTATAGCATGTCCCCAACCAATAAGGACAAAATAGGGATGCCTCACACCAGATCTGACACAGATAATATTCTCTGGCCGGATGTCTCCATGCCGAATCCCAGCATAAGACACAGTGCAAAGTGCAGATAGGCAATCATGGCAACACCTGATAGCCTCATCCGAACCGAATCGGCCTTCACTTACCATATCTGCAACTGTTTCACCAACTGGGCTGGTCACAAGAATTGGAGTGCCACACAAAGGGTGATCACAGTTCCCACCAGAGCTGGGTCTCTGACACTGACCAGGGTGAACAATCCTCCCAGAAGCACTTAACTGTGGCAGATATTTGCTAGATAAACCTTTCTGTTTCATGACTGTTAATATTTTAGTCTGTCTCTGAACTTGATACCATAAATTCATGTCTTCCCAAGCTGGTTCCAGCTGAGAAGGATGTGAACCAACATATAGAAACAGAGACTTTCCTGGATCTTCAACTGGTGAAGCAATGTAATATCTGAGTTCACCATTACTAAGGACTTCATTAATCTGATAACCCTTTTGAAAGTTTGAATCCTCCAACCATAATACAGATCCTACCTCTAGCTTCATTAACTCTTCAGACTCTACTTTGATAGATTCATCCTGAACTTCAACTATTTCAGGAGAAGCACTCCGCTGCTGGAACCGAAATAGACCATTTCCATTCACCCTGGTATCCCCCAACTGCCTTTCAACTCTTCTTGTTTGGAGGCGAGAACTATGGTCAGCAGCTAAATCTTCAATTGAGTGCTTGGGAAATCCAGCAAATTGCACGATACAGTGGAAAGTTGCAAAAAGTACCTGAAGAGCACCAATATCGCCCCAGTTGGCATTTCCAAGCTTGTTCCAAATCCTATCGATTGGAGAGACTGCAATTCGACAATGCTTTTTTATCCACTCAGCAGCACAGTCATAAATATTATTCACATCAAACTCCAATTTATTTACATCACCTTCAACTTTTACAACCCCACCATATTGAGAGTCAACAAGAAGAACAAACACTGTGTTTGAGCTCAGAGAAAAAGTTACTCTACTTAAGCTTCTTGATAATAGTATACGAAGCGCATAGAAAAGAGCTTCCCCTAGAATAGATAAAGAAGGCTGCTGGTCACTATCCACAGCAAGACTTCTAATATCGGGCCTTAAAAGAGCCAATTCAAGAATATGGTCCCACTTTCCATGTGGATGTCTAGAGTTCTTGAGCAATACACCAGTAGCACAAAGACCTCCAAGCTTCCCATTTGCTATTGCCTTCTCGGCCTGGTAGAATTTTAAGTTTGCATCGTATAGACAGGCAACAGAGAAAGGCATGGGTTCATCATGACTCCAAAATGCCTCCCACAAGCCTTTCACACTTGCATGTAGAAAATCCTCAATAGCAAGATAAGCAGTTGCTTCAACCGCATCGGATGTTGAAGCATAAACAGCATTGGGCATCCTAGTCAACTGTTGAAACGAAACTCCTTCCAGTGCATAATCAAATTTTTGCAGTTCTATCAACTCAAAAGGGACATCAAATGGTGGTTTTTTTGCAGCTGTCTTTTCTGAAATCGAAATAAACCAATCTTCGATTTTTGCAGTCAGAATTTCACTATCAACAAATCTATTAAGAAACTCTTTGCGATCACGTGGCCTACAGCCCGAAGATACACTAGACCTCTTTGTCCCAGACCCTACTGATTCCTGGTCTGGGGATCCACCTGCCAAACACAAATCCTATCGTATTAATTGACTGGTTCAGGTGTTTGAATATAACTTCACATCATATCTACAAAATTCACATAAATTCAGCAAAGAACTATAAGCGAAGAAAAAAAATTAGAAAATCAGCAATAAAATACATGAAGGCCCACAATACCTCATTAAATGAAAATCATTAACATGTAATCTGTTTTAGGCTATCCCATCCTTGGGGATTTGATGCTTAGGATTCACAAGGTTATGCAGTGATGTTGATTTCTATATTAAGAAATGTTAAGAAGATATTCCTTTCACATTTATTGCATCTTCATAATTGAAGTACAAATAGTAACAACAATTTTGCAAACGAATTGTGTTCCTGAGAAATCTCCTCATCTCCAGAATAACAGAAATAACAGATTTTCAGAAGAAGCTCAAACAGAATATAAAGTACACAATAATCAGCTAACTTTTAAGCCAAAAATTCGATATAATTATATAGGACCCACAGTCCAAGAAGGAATGTCAAAAGAAACTGCTTCTCTCATGGCATACAAGTTAACGTTTAATATAACAATAAGAAAAAAGTCCAGCCAAAAATTTTCCATATTGATATGAAATCTATAACGACCATCATTGCAGTCTACAAATCAACAAAACTAGTTCAGAACCTAACAAGTAGTTATACCAACATAAGATATCAGTTTATTTACTCATTTTTTTTATAAGCCCGTAACATAAAACCATTTGGTTGGTCAATATATCTTTAGGTAAATCAGTGTGTTCCATGATAATCAGGCCACCAAACCAATGGCATAACAGGCAAACAAACCCCTGGTCAGATAATAACTGAAGCAGCACAATGATGAAAACTCAACTAGTTAAGAAAACCCCCATGAGAATTCAACCATGCAATTTTCCACTACGGTTCCTAAACATCCTCGAAGCCTTGTAATATAAGGAAAAAAATATTGAGCAAAAAATAGTATAGTTTAAATGTCTCTCCCTCTCTCTCACTCTCTAGCCAACTGAAAAATCACATTCAAGACTTATAAGCATGCAACATATCAAAATTCTCAAGTCAATAACAATTGACTTAAATATTTGCAGCACAGCAGACGGAAAAAAATATAAGAAAGAAAAGGAAATTTATTTATAAAAATTCAAAGGAGAAGATCAAATGTGGAACAGCAGACCACACAATCCTAAGAAGTGGCGTACACACAATACCAACACAGTCAATATCCCCTCCTTGGTCAAAAATAACATTTATAGACACAAAATTACCCCAAGACTCCTTCCCGAGCTTAGAAAAGTTACAATATTGAGCTCAAAATTTTCATGGAAGAGTAAAATAAAAGCCCAAACCATATCTATTTAGACTAATATTGTAATTCTACCAATTTGGGATAGGATGGAGAAAAACGAAGGAAAATTGTAAGAAGCTTAAGTAAAGGATCATTTTTAAAAACCTCAACCATCTTGCTTCACTCAACACTTTTAATGAACCTATACTGAAGGTTAACGACAATTAAACACCCCCTCATGACCCCTCAATAAAGAAAAAAGAAAGAATTATCAATCAGAGAAATCACCAAATTTGGGGTAAGAGAAAGAACTAAGAATCAAACAAAGCACCCATCTGAAGTAGTTTGATAGAGAAATTTGGAATGGAACTAGAACTCTATTCTCTTCCCTCAAATTACCTTTTGGAAAATTGGAATCTTGATAGAGTTACACCAGAACAGAAACTAAAGAATAATGTTCTTCTAGTTCTCAGTTCAAGAATAAGTTGAAACCCTATGCATAGGCAACTAGAATCATTCAGATAATGAAATAGGAAGACACTCAGTGCCACCTCAATAGAACAGTTATGGCCTGCACAAGGACCAAAGGTTTCATCTCTTTAGTCTACAAATAAGTATATCTGATAGATAAATGACTAGTAGTTCTTTACTTGAATAGTTTTATCAAATACTAATTGCATGGGTATTATTTCATTTGAATGGGCTGTGGATAGAGATCCATAGGTTTTATTTTTGTCTATAGTAAGTCATTAAAACTTAAATGGTATTAGGAAATTTTGGGTTACATATCAATAGTATCAATCCTACAATCCTATTTTGTAGGAATCCTAGTAGGAAAGAAGCCTATATTAATATCAATATGTTCTCAAGCTTCTCAAAGTTGATTAACAGAATAAAGAAGCAAGTTATCTTCGGCATTTTATTTTTTTTCCTTGCTAGAAATTGCAAGTTTGTGAGTCCTCTCAGTTTCATATTCCTCTTCCTCTGTTCCTTGTTCTAGTTCTTTATCTCTTTTATTTATTCAATTATTTGCAACAAACAACACCTTTTAAGTACTCAACCAGATTTAATTACCAACTCTTTTCATTATCCCTCTTGCTTCCAGCATTAAACCCTAAACATTAAAAGTTGCAGCAACCTTGTCTTGTGTTTCTTTCTTCATTTGCAACATAAACAATCCCAATCAATTAATGTTTACAAACCCAAATTCTTAATCTATTTCACTAGTATTTCCTACTAACAAACCCTCTTTCACTCTTAAAACTAACCCTCAGAGTCCATAAATAGTTACTACTAAAAAACATTGAAGTTACCTAACTTTCACCTCTATGAAACTTAACAGAAACCAAGAATGCCCTCGTCAAACAATATGCCAATTACAACAATCCAAACCATTGTCCATCCATACAAAAATCCTAATTCTGTTTAATTGCCTTGAAACTNAAGTACTCAACCAGATTTAATTACCAACTCTTTTCATTATCCCTCTTGCTTCCAGCATTAAACCCTAAACATTAAAAGTTGCAGCAACCTTGTCTTGTGTTTCTTTCTTCATTTGCAACATAAACAATCCGAATCAATTAATGTACAAACCCTCTTTCACTCTTAAAACTAACCCTCAGAGTCCATAAATAGTTACTACTAAAAAACATTGAAGTAACCTAACTTTCACCTCTATGAAACTTAACAGAAACCAAGAATGCCCTCGTCAAACAATATGCCAATTACAACAATCCAAACCATTGTCCATCCATACAAAAATCCTAATTCTGTTTAATTGCCTTGAAACTATGCCGCCACAAGCGAAAGAACAGAAATACAGCAAGCAGTTCCACATGAATACTACAGATCGAAGTGACATTGCCCATATGCTACTTAAGGGTTTAAGGGCAACCAACTAACACGGTTACTCAGAACTAACATATCACCTAAAAGTAAAATAGACCACCTAGGACATGAAAAAGAAAAACAGAAAATATTCTGCAAATTTTACTAACTAGATCACGAGAAACCTACAAGATTTTGTTCTTAAATAAATAAGAATTTATTAAGATTTTTTAATTGCAGAAACAATCAAGGTGAATTTGTTGATATTTTCATCAATGATTTTGTGTTTTGAATTTAGGAAAATTGAAAAATATGTTCATGGGCGATTCTTTAAGAAAACACTGTCATTTTAAAAAAACAGTTATCCAAAAATACTATTTTCTAACTTTTGTAAAGGAAATGGGAAAACAGTACTTTTGAGTTTTTTATTTTTTATTTTTCAAATTATTAACAATATTGTTATGCATCATAATAATTAGATCAAACGCATGTTTCTTTCAGTTTCAAAAACCTCTACGAAAGACATCATTCAGTTTTGATTTTCTGAATACTATTTTCCAGAAAAAAAAAATACGAAATCAAATCTTAATCTTGAAAATAAAAAACAAAAATTCAATTTTCAGTTTTCATTTTTCAAATTCATTTTCCAAAAGAAATTTGAAAAATTGTGTTGAAAAAGCCCTTAATTTCATTATCTAATAAAATCACATGAAACAAATTCCAGTTCTCAACTCAAGATCACTGTATGCATATCTCATTAAAAGCACTTATTTTATCTAAGATGGCAAAAAGGAATCGCTCATCCATCATTGCACCATATTAGCTTTGCACACTTTCTCTAAATGACACCAAGAAGTTATTAGAACTTGAACCTCAATAGTAGTATCTATTTCAGAAAAATAAAAACTTGCTGCACAGTTATTTATATTCTATCCACAGTTATAACTTTAAAATAAATGACATTCAGATGATGAAATCCCATTCTCCGAAATTAATCCAGGCATAATTTTACACAAGAATTGCACCAAAAATGACCCACATGTATGCAGCCAGGAGAAGAATTAATGCACTCTGAATAGTTCCAACCAATTGCCCAAGATTTAGCATTGTCAATTTCATGATCTGATGCCTGGTTTCTTATATAAAAGTTCTGATTTGATCCATTAGAACACAGTCCCAGTAGCACATGGACCCACAGAAAAGTCTGAAACCTGAAACTATCAAGCAAATAGCACTAGGGTCGCTATATTGAGTTATTTCCCAAGTCTAAGAAATTAGACACTAAGGTCATGTCCAGCTAGGCAATGTGATGTACGATTTCGTGGGTAGGTACCCACATATGTTAGATTTAGTCATACAAACTATATAGGAACTTTGCTACATTTTCTGGTTTTAACTGTTTTCGTTTCCATATTTTGGGTAGTATTAAGGGTTTCCTAATGGAAAGCCTGCCCATTATATACATATAGGACCTTATTATGTTTCAAAACTAGATTTCCCATGATAGAGTGTGAAATACTAAACTTAACTTCTCTCCCAAGTTTCTCTAATTTCTTCCAATTCCACATCTTCTCCTCTCTTTCTTCTATCCCTATAATTTTTTTTTTTTAATTTCTGATCCCCACAAAGCAACTCCTTGGTGTTTCCCATTACGAAAAGGATACATCACTAACCTGTATTTTGCTGGCGACAAAAATCATGATGTTCTTATTCTTGTCACCCCATTAGTAGGACACATTTCAACATAAACCAAATGTCATCAATTCAAATCTTTTTCCCAGATAAAAAAAGTAGAACAAAACCTTTTAGTACTATTATTAGGATTTCAACTTACCAGNAATTTCTGATCCCCACAAAGCAAATCCTTGGTGTTTCCCATTATGACAAGGATACATCACTAACCTGTATTTTGCTGGCGACAAAAATCATGATGTTCTCTTATTCTGGTCACCCCATTAGTAGGACACATTTCAACATAAACCAAATGTCATCAATTCAAATCTTTTTCACAGATAAAAAAAGTAGAACAAAACCTTTTAGTACTATTATTAGGATTTCAACTTACCAGAAATAGTAGATTCTTTCTCACAAGGAAATCCCAAATGAATATTTGCACAACCAAACAACACGCTAAAGGTATATAATTACTGAAATTCAAAAACTGAGACTACTTTCAAAGAATTAATCAGCTTAGTTTATTAACTTCTTTAACTGCACTTATTCTCAAATGGCTACCAGCTAATTTTGAATCACATAGATCAAAACTTAAGAGGTCAGCACAACAAACCAAGCATAACACAATCAACAACTAACAAAATAAACAAGTCACTAATAACTAAACAATCAAGTAACAAAGAAAACAAGGAAACTAAAATTCCGGGAAAAAGAAGATAAACCTAAAACAAAAAATAATGTTCTAAATACCATATATGAAGTAATCAGATTTAAGGGACTAATACCATAAATAAAAAATAAAAAAATTCAAGAGTACTGTTGAGATAAATAAAAACCAAACATTGCATAATCACAATGAAACCTAATGGAGAAAGAAAATCAGTTACTTCATTAAAAAGTTGGAATTAAAAAAGAGAGAAATTTAGGGTCAATGAATAGATCCCACCTCCCATTATGGCTATCTGTTTTCCACAATTTGAGATCCTTGAGCAGCAAATCCAAGTCATATGCAACCTAATGAGCCTCAGAGGATTAAAAATAAGCTATAGAAAACCACGCTTCCGATTCTTCATTGAAGTTGACATCTTTCAGTCAACTATTGGCAATAAATTACCTAAACTTGATGCCCCTAGTTTAATACATATTTCCCCATTCTTCATTACCAACACAGTCAGCTCCCATTGAAAAATTACATAATTTGTTAACCCTAGTTTTTAAAGCACCCCACTTCTCTCTCTCTCTCTCTCTCTCTCTCTCTCTCTCTCTGTCTAAAACAAACCACTCCCCCCCGCTTCTTATTTTCCCTTATTAAGTCCCACATAATTACTCACACTTACCCCCTCCGTTATTACACCAATCAACATCAAGACACAACAGTACTTATTTACTCAAACTCCAATGAAAAGTTGCCAAAAAATGTCACTAGCTTCTATTATTAGAGTTCCACCCATCCCCTCTGTTATTTGTACATATATACATAAATACATGGATTCTTTGCAATCCTAGCGTTGGAGATCCTTCCATCCCCTCTATTTTTTGTATGTATATAAATACATGAATTCTTTATAATCCTAACCTTTTATCCAATCCTAAACTATATAGACCCCCCACCCCCGCAAAACCAAAAAGAGAGAAAGGGCCACGAACAGTTGCATCAAAAAATTAAATTGATACCTAAGTAATTAGTTTCCAATATAAATACAAGGGAAGGTGAAGAATAACGAACATGTAATTATATGAAACTTCACTCAAACGCAAGGATTACTACAGGAAAAAGTAAGACTTTCTGGTACTTTTTGCTGCCTTTAGCTTCTTGTAAGGATGATCAAATAATCAAGTTAATAACACATGGAGTATCAGGAAATCTAGCATCAACCCCAGGGGTCGAGTGGAATGATTAAGACACGTGGTTCCAATGAAGATGTCAAAGGTTCGAACTTCGAATCCCTTGGATACTAGGGTTTTATGTTCTAGAAGTAGCCACCAGTTTGGAACTTGATGAACACAAGAGTGTTCAAGGGATTAAAATGAGGAATATCATATCACAATTATGTAAAAGAATTATTACTTTGGTATCCAAATTGTAAGATACCATATTTGAATCCAGCAAGGGAATGTCTAATGAGCAAAGCAACTACTTGGTGGGAAAAAAACAAACTGAATGATTCTTCAAAGTTCAAACTGTGAACTGCATGTTAAAAAAGGCTATTGCATTTTAATACTTCGTATGTGCTTGTTAGATATAAATTTGCCACTTGACAAAAAAAATTAAGGGAGGAGGCAGTCATAATAATGTAACCTCATCCATCCTAGAAAGGGACTAACAAATAAAAAAGTATAACGACTGAATCTCGTCTCTCAAGAGTCATTCTTCTACATCCATAGCTTTAACAAGTTTGTCACCACCTGACTTTTTGATAAACCCCTGGCAACTTTTCTAGACAGGAACACTGATAAACGAATTGCAAAAGCAAACTAACACAAACACCCATATTCATCACAATGATTAAATAGACAACACCTAATACAGTTTCACACGAATTCAGAGTTTTCATCATTCTTTGAGGTACTACTCCTAGGTGCTACTGAAACAATGGATATAGATGAGAATTTTTGGCTTACATTAGTTAATCTTCATCCAGTTACCACCTGCTTCTTAAATTACCACCTTCCTCTATTGTCAAAACACCCCTGCATTATGCATTCAAACACATAGCAAATACTGATCTACACTCACTCAACATAATCGTACTTTTACCATAAACTATACATCCAGATGCTAATTACAATTGCTAAAAGATCAATCAAACGTGTTCACAGAATTCAATTAGAAGCGATAAAGATCAGCAGAAAAGCCAGTCAATCCAAGTAAAATTGAGTCAAAGGAAGAGTCAAAAGAAAGAATTTAGGGTTTAAAAGAAGAGAGAATATACCTTCCATTATAAAGAGAGTGGTAACTCTTCAACAGTATTGAAGGTCTCGGATCTTCCTGGTCTCTTTAAGCTGCCACTGATTAATTGCTTATGTATTTTATATAAATATAAATCTTTCTCTATATCTCCGTCGTCCTCGTCCACTGTCCAATGGAATTACTCGTGTTTTGTTTTTTATTACTAGAAAGTTGGAAACTTGGAATAATAAATATTTGCTTTCTATTTTAATTATTTTTAATTTTTGTTCAACTCGCGAGTCGCATGTCTTCTCATTTGTCTTAATTACTCCTTAGTCAAAACAAAACCAAATACAAATAAATTTAATTTGGAAAAAAAAAATAATAATATATATATATATATATTAATTTATTTTTATTAATAATATTGATTATCATCTTAGATGACGATTAAACAAGCGGTTCATTTTATATATTGTTGAGAAATCCTTAAATCTTAAACATTAGAAAAAATTTATAGGAAAAAACTATGAAATTCCCATTTGTAGAGGGAATTTTTATACTTTTGTTGAAAATTACTATTTTAAAGGTATTTAATAATTTTAAAAATTGTTAAGTGGTTAAAACTTATGGATCTATTGAAATTAATCCAAAATATTGCGTGACTAAATTGATTTATTCTTAGTTATTTATTATTGTGTATTATTTTATTTGATTAGAGTAGACATCTAAAATGTGACATTATGTTTTAATCATTGTTTTCATTTAATTAATGCAATAAATAAAGATTTAAAGTCAAAAAGGTTACTCAAAACTATTGGATTAAGGTTCTGTTACACTTTCTTGAGTTAAAAGTCGGTGCTTTTTAATTATAGTTTATGACTCCCAAATCTTATACCTACAATTGGATCAAAGTAATGAGTACTAATTTAGTTTTAATTGATAATTTATTCTAATAAAATGATTTTTAAAATTGTTCAATTATCTAATATATATATATATATTAGTATTTTTTTTATAACTAAGGATATCTAAACCAGTTTACGTACACTTGAAAATAAATTGTTGCAATACTCAAATCTTATATTAATTAGTCATAAAGAAATTGAGGATTACAAAATTGAATTTCCAATAAGTCTTAAAATGATTGAATAGACTTTTGTTTAAAGTCGGAATAAGCCTAAATCTTGATAATATCTTTCATATTTGACTATAAGTATTAAATTATTTGTATAATGTAAATTAAAAATGTGAAAATCAACTTGTTCACATTTTGTTGAATTGTGACAATGATGGAAAAGAGTCTAAATTCAAAAAGCATTGGCCCAATTTAATGGGCCCAAATGCCCAATACAAAGTGGACCAATTCATCCTTCAAGACAAAGTCAACTATTGATGGCCCCTTGTTTTTACTTCTTCAATTACCATTGTTATTATTATCATTAAAATTGCTAAATTAAAATTAAATTGGTTGTTACACATCTATCAACTAGACAAATTATTTTATTATTTTTGTTATATTTAATCATTAGGGGACGATTCTTCATTCATGGTTATGGGCTACAATAATAGCCTACAACAGCCCCTTCCCAAAAGAGGTGGGGAAAAGCGTATAGTGAATATTGTCATCCTTATTTCCTCCAAAATTTGAAAAACTAACAACGCCACCCCATTTTCCAGAGTCAATCAAGCAAAAAGAGGAGCTTTTCAAGATGCCATTATGTAAAGGTTCAGTCCTACTATTACATTAAGCAAACAAATTACCACCCACAGATGATAGAACAAACTCGTGCAACACAATTATAATTTTTGAAGGAAAAGGGATTATTTCTTATGTTGACCCACTACCAATAAAATACATATAGTAACGTTCAACATATTGAAGAATGTTATTAAACATTACACTCTCTTAATATTCCTAGAACTTATTGAAGCCTTCTTGTGTTGTTATTATTAGGCTTGGGCTTCCAATCCCTCTACTTCTATCTTCTCCATTGTAACTTTCTCTTTGTTGTTCATCTTAATAGTCAATACTCCATCTTTCGTTTCATTTTTGCCACTTAAATCAGACTCTATTATCTCTGTGGTCCAGCTACGTAGTTGTTCGACGGCCGTTTCATCTGCCCATTAATCAATGGATCAATCTTCATTCATGAGCAATCAAGTAATGAAGTACAAAATTGAAATACAGTCAAATCAAATCAAAACTAAAATTACCTAGTCTAGGGACAGTGTGGCCTTGGGGGTGCCTTACGATTAGAGGGTTTTCAAAGGCAGCGGCCAGTTCCTCAGAAGGCAATTTTAGCCAATCTTTGGCTCCAATGAAGTGAACTGACTTGGCCTTAATGGGATCTTTATAGGCAACTTCACATATGTTTGGTTTCCTGAACTTTGAGCCTGAAATTGACACAAAAAATTTCAAGGGCGGATGATCCTTCAACACTTTCCGCTGTGCTTGGTAGCCCAGTAAAAGAGCTGAGAGTGTTGCACCCTATCAAAAAAACAAAAGTAAATATAATATATGAAGCAATATTATTGCATCAATTAGTGAAAATTGTATATTAATTAATCGATCTTATACAAACCTGAGAGAAGCCGAGCAAACCATCAAAAGGGCCTTTAGTGGTGATGTAATCACACAAATGAGTTATACATTGTTCCAGGTTTGTGTACTCTGTGAAATCCTGATTAAGAATTTCATATTCATGTAGGAGGATTATTCTATGAAATAAATAAATAAATAAAAGTTTAACCCAATGAAAATTAAGGAAAGGGAGAGTTTTTACCTCATTGAACTGGAACCATTCAAAGTAGGGTGGTGGAAATATGCCTTCTATGTCAGATTTGCCCCCGGCCGGAAATATTCCATCTGGGAAATCCTGTACCAGTTCAGGAACATCATTACATTGCTTCATCTCATAACCTCTATTGAGATTTAGTTAAACCCCATTGATTTAAAACATTTGCTAGAAGTATCTACTAAATTGAAGAGTTCTTCAATGAATTTCTTAGTTGATAGAGAATTTAATTGAATCGATTAAAGAGAAAAGACAGCTTAAAAATGTTTAATGAGTATCGGAATAATTAACCGCTTCCAAGACCTTTAATTTCATTGATAATCATTCTGGGGAATTAATGAAGAGCTAGCACAAGTGAATCCACAAGACACAGAGAGAATTGACAATATTTTAACATACCATCTCGAAGTGAGCAAAAATAGAAGGATCCCATTTGCTAATTTGCTTCTTCAAGAAACTCCCGCTTGTTCTAAATCCATGCAGGCATAATATCTTCATCTTCTTCACTTCTTCTTTTTGGTCTTCCATTTTAATTATATTTTCCTTTTGATTGCTATATAAATATAATATTAGTTCTTACCTTACCCACTTCTGTATTACTGACTTATTTAAGGCAGCCAGCTACCATTTAAGTGTGTTGGTTGGTGCTTTGGGGGTTGGTGTTGCACGTGCACTCTTCATAACACAAATCTTCCACCTTTCACACTCGTACAACACAAATTAATAGCTTAAACATAAATTAATCTTATTTTATTCATAAAAAATTTAATTAATGGCCACCAATCATAGGTAAAGAATTGATTTTTTTTTTCATATGATATATGTATAATTGTACTCAACATCCGCTAGTTATTTAAAAAATATCAACCCAAGATCCAAAGGGTTTTGCTAGCTCATTGGTTCCAATTAACCCGGCATCCTAGTACTACTGAGAATGGAAATGAGAATGAAGGGAAAAAAAAAAAAAAAAAAAGATGGAAATGAAACAACGAATCTTTTATAAATTGTTTGGAAAAATTACTTAACAAAATATTTCAAAACTTTCAATGAAAAAAAATAATTGATGATGAAAAAAAAAAAAAAAAATCAATAGTAAAGTAAAAATACTCATGTGAGTTTTAACGTTTTTAAATTATGTATTAAAAACGTTAAAGTCAAGGCGCCATTGTAATTACTTTTGTCTAAGTTATTAAAAAAAATAAGTCAACAAATATATCGTCATCCATTAATATATTGAGACGTGGATTTAAAATATTTCAAAAGTTAAAAGAATTTAAAATTTAAAATTAAGAAATTGTATGAAAAAAAAAAAAAGGCCAATAACAACGGTGTTCAAAAGCGGTAATCGAATCAGTTAACCACTTTTTTGAACCAAATCGGTTTTTCGGTTCCAAAAAATTTCCGAATCGAAACCAAACCTGTTTAGAGGGGAAAACTGGTTTTTTAGTTAACCAAAAAACCGGTTAACCATTTTGAAAAAAAGCGGTTAACCGGTTTTGAACTAGTTTTCCCTTTTTTTTTTTATAAAACTTTTATTTTTTTATTTTTTCCTAAATTAAATTGTAAATATAAATAATACATATCCAAATAAAAATTAAACATTTATATATATTCATTGACCACTACTAGCAATACGTTAAAAATATTATTATTATTTTATTTAATATATAATATAATATTTTATTTTTATTTTTATTTAATATATATATTTATTTATTTATAAAACCGGTTTCGATTAACCGCTTTTTATTTCTTTCCAAACCAAAAATTTAGTTTTTTGAATTTTTTAAACCGTAACTAAACCGTTTTTTCGATTAACCGATTTTTCGATTCAGTTCAGTTTTTGTATTTTTTTTAACACTCTTACCAATAACATAAATTTGGCTTGCGCTCATGGTTGGCATGGCTTGACCTGGCCACATTGGGCCGAATCGATCAATACGATCCACCGATTGATTTGGCCTGGTATGGCAAGATCGACACCACACCAAGCATGGCATGGCCACGATCAAGCCATGCTGACCCAAATCAAGGCCAACAGCACTACCCATTGTCGATACTTGATAGTTTATGCCGGCTTTACTTTTTTCTTTTTCATTTTTGTCATTTTCTTTTTGGGTCGTCTAATATTTTTAATTTTTTTGAATTAGATTCATTTTCTACATGGGCAAATATGTAATACAACATTCATATCATCTTGCATAAGAGAAAAATAGAATTATTTCAACTTTAGTCAATAATTACGGTTAGAAAATGGAGTTGAGTGATAATTTATAAAAACGTGGAGGGATGTCACTGATGGGTTTTTAATACCACATGCGTTAACTATATTTGGATTAATATTACCTTTATATCATTATTTACATTATTTTTATTACATTATAATGTGACATATATTATATCCATATAAAATTTTAATTATTTTAAATTTTAAATATTATAATAAAATTATTATTAGTAAAATGGTTAAAGTGTAATGAAAATAGTATAAAAGATTTTGTAAAGATAACATTACTATTATATTTTATGAAACTTTAGGGTGCGTGAATTCCCAGATATTAATTAATTAATCTAAGAAGGGGTACAATACCTGCTATACAGTATTGGGCAACTCCCGACCATCTCCCCTTAGGTTTTTGAAATTCTAGTTAGACCCATACATATTTGGAAAACCTTAGCACCTGCCTTCACATTTGGCTAAATTCTCAAATTGCATCCCTCTCCTCTATTCTCAGATTCTCATATTTGGATATTAAAATACAAAATTCAAAACAGGGTATTCAAAATCCAAACATAAGTTATAAATTTAAAACAATATAACCTTACAAACTTGATAAACAAATGGAGTTGAATACACTCATTAACTTAAATAAATCTCCTAACTCATATTTAGATGCCTCGGTAGTATCGTAACCAAAAGCTGAGTCAAACTTCACATAATAAATGCGTTTAACATCTTTTATCATCTATTCAATCATACTAATGTTGGTTGATCAAGCACAAATAAATGACAATAATTAATTAATGTTCTCAACAGAGCCATAATACTTGTCTTATCTAATTCCTATTTTAGGCAACATAGAATCAATTTTCACATGTTCCACCCACATTTTTAAATTTTGTAGCATTGAAGATGGAGATCTAATACTAAGATTTGAATCATACATTTTTTAACCATTCGATCATAATCAAATTCACCATCTAGAACAAGCAAGCTAAACTTAATCATTTTACCAATTGTTTCTCTCCTATGGTCACTTATCATGCGAAACTTCGATATTAGCTAAAAACATGTATCAGTAAAAATAAGGTAAGTTACACCTAATCACTTTTTTACATGCTTCTTTCTCTCCAACTCGAACACTTATCTTTATCCTCATCCTTATCTTTTGTTTCCTCCCACGATACTTTATTTTTTTATTGAAGCAATAGACACTAGTTGGATGCATGATTATTCAAACCATGCGTTATCTTTTATTGGTAAGACTATCTCCAACCATAAACATCAAATTGGTGTAAGTTTCATACTAAATTAGTATAATTTTTTGTGTATTTCGCTATTGCATTTCTAATCAATTACACCAAATATTATACCAAAAAGAATATTCTTTTTCTTTTTCTTTTTATTAATAATCAACAATTAATCTACTTCAGTAATTATTTTTTTATATATTATTTGAATATTGAGAATGATATTTTTATTAAATAATAATTATTTTAAAATTTTTACTAATTTAATAAAATTAATCATTTATTTAATCAAATAAATATTACATTTAATATGAAAAAACATTGCATCTAATATAAAATACCACACAAAAAAAAAAAAAAAAAAAAAAGACAAAATTGGCTTTGACAGAATATCGAGAAGATAACAAAATTTGATTCAATTCTATAACTGATCTAAGTCTGCGTGAGTTTTTTCAAAATGAGCTATCAATAATTACACAAAAAAGAACTCAACAACAAGGTCAATGATCTCAAAATAGTTATAGTTCTTTCTAATATTTTAATGATTTTAGAGGATCCGGAACTAATCTACCAGAATACTTAATTTTAGTGTTTTTATATTAGCGTTAATTTTTATTTTGAGTTATTGTAGTTTAATATTTGTATTGAATAAAGTTTTGTTTTTAATTTTTCATCATTTTTTTAATTATATAATTATTATGAATTTATTATTATAAATATTAATATAAAAATAATTAAATTAATATAAATACTGTTGGAAATTAAATAGAATAACATATATCCTAACATAATCCCAAGATCATAGTCACTATTGCAATCACATTTGTATATAAATGAACTACAATGAATTTACACAGCATAAATACCTCATTTCCTTATCTCTGAAGCAACAAAGTAATCTGGAAGAAAGACCACAAATCGTATTTCTGTTTTCCAAATTCTAGAGAGAGAGAGCGTATATTTTTTCTTGCGTTTTTTTAGAGTAACAGTGTTCATGACTCAAAGAAAGAATTTTTCTTTTATAAGTAGCAGTTAGAGAGAAACTGCATTTGGCAGTTTCATCTCACACACGTCGCTTGGGGTAACCCATCATGGGTGTACCCCTTATCCAATATCTCCCACTCACACATGATGGGACTATCTCTCTCTATGCTTCTTTAAGGTTCATACCTTAGTAAATATGCCGTGTGACCATGCATACTTCGAGAGCACGTTAGTCATATATCTGTTAGGAATATATAACTTCTCGAATTGTGAAACTCAGGTTGTATGTTGTATGCAATACCCTAGATTACTTATCACATTTTTCTAACAATCTCATTTACAAAAAAAATATCCGTTGTATTCATAATTATGTTCTATCTTTACATAAAAGTAAACATAATTGGTCCCACTGAATACATGTGATTAATGTGATAATTCAAAATCGTAATCTTCCTCTTTTCTCGATTCTTGCAACTTTTTTTAACTTGCTTTTCTAGAAATGTCTCAGCAGATTGAATTTATCTTAATCCTTTGGTAACACTCTAAGATAGCAATCATTAAATGAAGTTTTCAAGAAACAGAATAGAGTAATAAGGTATTTCTATGAGATTTTATTCAAAAAACTCAGGGTCTCACACAATGTTAAAGTTAGATTTTGACTTTCATTACCCCTTTGGTCAATGTTTTCACATGTGGTATGAATCACATGCTACAGCATTTCCTCCTTTCCCATGGAGTGCATGTCTCTTTTCTTGTAAATCTGTATAGATTTTAGTTCAGACATGCCTAATGTCTAACTTTAGTTCACTTTACATATCTTATAATTCATCAAACTCTAATCTGGCAATTAGACAGATAAAGTGATCATTTATCACTTGTGGTCACTTCATTATGACATATTTTAATTCTTTTTCTAGTGACGTTAAACATTTTAAGCTTGGCTCTCTATTATCACCTAGATAATAAGCTTAAAATCGTCTCTCTCTCCATTCCTACGAAGTAATGGAGGCGATTGCCTGTGTGAGAAGGCCAATCTTTTAGCTGTCCGACATGCTTTTCAAAATAGACATATTATATTTACATAACTAATATGCTATAT